TCCCTGATCTTCAAGCTCAGCTGACCATTTATTCTCTGTTCCTCAAATAGGAGTTCCTTAGATTCAATCTTCAAAACTTTTTTCCAACGGCCTACCTCCACAAATTCTCCCATCTCAGCTCCTCCCCCTCTCCCCCTCTCACCCTATCAGCAACCTTCTCTTTGCTTCACCCTCTCACCCTCTCAGCAACCTTCTCTTTGCTTCAAAACTTTTTTCCAACGGCCTACCTCCACAAATTCACCCATCTCAGCTCCTCCCCCTCTCCCCCTCTCACCCTCTCAGCAACCTTCTCCTGGAATGTTTCTATACTGCAAAAATGGAAACATTTTGGTAGAAATCGAAAACTATGATGTTGTGATAATGTCTACTATAGTGGATAGCCGAAGATTCATGATGACAGTTGAAGTCAGCTGTCTCAATACATGCATTCTGGTTCTAGATATTTCTGGTCCTCCCAACCAGAACTATCACCACCACTACCACTTACAAATATCTGCCTCTTTAGAAAATGGTTCCAAATAATAAACCTTTCCAAGAGGCATCCAGTTAAAGCATCCTTGAACTGTGTAATTTGGGTCATGAAAACTATGTTGGAAGCTTCTGCTGGTAATAAATCAAATTAAGTTGAGGAGCCTCAGCTTTTGAATCCAAAAGTTGATCCACTGCTTGGACATGCAGTTCCCATCAAGAGGAGAAAGTTTTCTACTATTGTTTACTTAATAAGAAGTTTTTAGAACTTATAAAACAAGTTGCAGGTAAGGCCTCATTTCCTGGCTTGAAGAGATATTTCTAGTCATCTATTTTAGAATAATATTTATTTCTCTCTGACATGTATGCCTCTCATTAGTCAGCTGCAGGATTTCATCACCTTTTTTTTTATGTTTTCAAGTATAGGATCTACTTAACATTTATGTTTTTTTAATGAGGTCTTATGTTATAATTAATGTCATTGTCCTAAAAGTTTCCTGTCTATTTGATGATTAGAAAAGATCATGGTACAATATCACTTAAAATATCCTTTTTAACTTGGAATTTGGAAAAATTATATATTTGTATTTATACATTTGCTTCTAGCTAAGCAAGGGGTACAAAGAACTCAATTGTAATATCTGGGTTGAGTCAGCTTTTCTATATCTATGTTTTTCTTTTTTCACAACCTCTTCTTGTATTTATGCTTATTTTTATTAATAAAATCAATTCTGTGTTGCTGATAAAGAAAAAAAAAAGACTATACATTTGGATGCACTTGTTGAGCATTTAGCTTTTACTTTTCCCTGACAAAGTGGGGCTTTTTGTAATAACCACAGGGGAAGCAGAGATGGTGACTTATGTGTAGTTGAAGTAAAGAAAATGGAGGTCTGCCACTGGAGTAAGAGGCTTCACCCTGGTTCAGGCATTTCATTGATAGAGTTTTGTCCCAGTGAAAGGTAAATCCCAGTAAATGTCCACTTCTTTTGGTAATAGAATAGATAAATGGAGTATGAACATGCTCATTTTTGTTGGTTTGTGTATGAAATCCTAAACCTAAAGATCAAAGATTAGGTCATGTACCTAAAAAAAGCAAAATTTGGGCTGGGACCTTCCACATTGATTACATCTCAAAACAAGGACAGGTCACTGGATTAATCTGCAGAAAGAAGAGCAACTGAAATTCTTTATTATGATATTTCTGTAATTAAAGGACTAGTAAAATCTTTTCTTTAACAAGCTACAAATATTGAATTGAAGCTCCAGGAACAGAAATGTTGCATATTGCCATGGTGATAGAACATGGAATTTGACTCAAATTGCGTTCCTCGATTCATGGTAATATATGGGGGATTTAATTGGCTACCCCCCTTCTCTTAATCAGATCTGTTGTTGAATAATGGTTTCAATAAATGTAGATTTTTGCACTGTGGACTTTTGCTATAATATTCAAAGGGCATGAATCTCTAGGTGGGTCAGGAATTACAACTCTCCCTTTTCCACCTAAGGGGATCCATTCTCCCAAACCCCGCTCTCAAAAGAACAAAAAAATTCCTATTCCATTATTAATCTGATTGTAATAACTGGGTCAGAACCATAAACTGTTGCAATATCAAATGTTTTTACTCATCTTCCTTGGTTGTTAATGTGTTTAATATATTGTATGGTTTTGATGGGATTTATTGAACCATGGGGCTTTCTCCCATGTAGATCAGGATGATTTTTGTAACTCGTAGTTGTGACCCGTCTATGTACACTTGTTAACTTGTAGTTATGATGGGCCTTCACCATGGTTCAGCATGTAGCCCTTTTTTATTTGCATTGATCATGGATGAATTGGCTAAACATGTTTTTGAGGAGGTCCGATGGTGCATGTTGTTTGCTGTTGACATCATTTTAATCGATGAAACCAACAAGGGATTAAATGCAAAATTAAGCTTATGAGCAAATGCCTTAGAAACAAGATATTTCAAAGTATGTAGGACTAAAACACAATATATGGCATATAAATTTAATAATAACAATAGGAATGCAAATCAGGGTACACTAGGGATTGGAGACCAAGAGATAATTCAATGCGACCATTTTTTTATCAATAACAGGAACATTTCATTAATATAAGAGGTTAAAATACAAGGGAGGGGAGATAAACTATCTTAACTCCCCAAGGGATCTGAAAAACATTCAAAAGAAAGCCACTTAAACTTTCTCTTCTCATTGCTGTAGTTCCAGAGCCCGATCTTGTCTTCCTTTAACCAGCCCACCACTATCTTAGAATCTCTTTCCTTGACCAGCTTACCGATATTCAGGCCCCTAGCTCTTTTTACCCCTTCCACCATTACCTCAGCCCTAAGGGAGTCTCCCACTCCAATTGGACCAGAAAACATGGTTTAAGAAGAAATTGGCTCAATTGACCATTTTGGTACCTTGGTTCAATAATTCATAACAAAGAAGAGATTGAAGAGGATGTTGCCCATAGACTTAGAGCAGGATGGGAAAAATGGTGGAGTGCATATGGAGTTTTATGTGATAAGCGAATACCACTTAGATTAAAAGGAAAATTCTGTAAAACAGGTGTAGGGCCAGCTATGTTGTATGGAACAAATTGTTGGGATGTCAAGAAACATGTCCAGAGAATGAGTGTGGCAAAAACGCATATGCTGAGATGGATATGTGGAAAAATTAGAAAGGATATGATCAGAAATGAAGTCATTTGTAGGAATTTAGGAGGAGCTCCAATAGGTGATTAAATGAGAGCAAGTAGACTAAGAAGGTTTGGTCATGTGCATAGAAGACCATCAACAGTATCTGTAAGAAGTGATTTGTTACTAGATGAAGGGTCTAGAAGGGAAAAGGGGTAGACCAAAAAGGACATGGGCAGAAGTAGTAAGAAATTATTTAAGCTGCAATTATTTAACAATGGATATGGCATTAAACAGAATGGACTAGTGAACGGTACTCATATAGCTGACCCCATATAGTTGGGATAAGGCTTGGATGATGGCGATGATTATTATTTCATATTCTTTTTCTCAGTGGTATTTTCCATTACTTCCAAGTTTCTCTGTTCTTTCTTTTTCTTTTTTTTAATTCTCATCTAATTGTTCTGAGATTCCAAACTCCCTATACATGATCTTCTAATGTTCCTCCATGAAATTGCAGAGTGGTAATTACCAATTCTAAGCATTGGGGAGCTGTGGTTACAAAGCTAAATGTTCCTGCAGATTGGAAAGGTCTCTCTCTCAAATTATAATTGTTTAGATGAATATCCTCTGTTTTATGTCCTTATTGATGGTTCTTGGAAATCATGAGTTGGTGGTTTCACAAATCAGCTGTTGTGTGGACCTAAATTTTACATCATGGGGTTGCTATCTGGGCTTTTTTGATATTTGATTTTTGTTTGCTTCTGTGCAGAATGGCAAATCTATTTGCTGCTGTTGGGACTCTTTTTGGCCTCGGCTGTAGCATTCTATGTATTTTTTGAGAATTCTGATTCATTCTGGAACTTCCCCCTGAGTAGAAATCAGCCTGCTAGACCAAAGATTGAAGGTATATTTGGAGATCCTCAGTCCTCTGACGAGGGAATATTTGGACCATTGGATATGTAACTTGATTGTATAATTCTGTTAGAAATGCCCTTGAACATTTGATTGCTGCACCAAGATACGGTAGCTTTTGAGGCCAGTGTTTTTTGGATGGCAACAAAATTTTTTAAGGCATCCTCAGCCTTTAATACGCACTGTGGCAAGATATTACTTGTATTTAAAATTTTACCAGTGTAGCCACTTGTCAGCTTTGGAGTGATGTTTGGACTTAGAGATCCATGTGCTCTTTCTAATTTTTTCTTCAATGCAATAATATATCAAGAAATGAATATATTTCTTCTTGATTAATGGTGGAGAAATATAGAAGATGTTTTTGATCAATAACAAATTCATTCAATTCATTGAAATATCAAACTATTTACAGCAAGGAAGACAAAAATTCTTATCTTCCAAGTACAACTTAAACTCTCCCAAGAGAGAAACAGAGAAAAGGAAACAAAAGAAACAATTAAGTTACAGCTTAGCCTAAAACATTGCTTCCCTTTCTATCCCTCGTTTAGCTAATCCATCAGCCAAAGAGTTAGTTGATCTCTTAACCCAATGCATCCTAATTTTCATCTCTCGCACCAGCCACCTGAATTTCCTCTTTTCATTTCTGTAATTTCATAAACCGTAGTTGTTTTTAATCAGCCACCCTATCACCACCTTCGAGTCCCCTTCAATTATGAGTTTCTTGACATTCAATTCTTTGGCTTTCTGAACTCCTTCCATAACTGTCAAGATCTAAGCCCTAAGGGAATCTTCCACACCAATTGGACTGAGAACAGGGCAGAAATGACCCCGTTCTCATCCCTAAAAACACCTCCAATCCCTGATTGTACCGGGTCTCCCCTACAACTCCCATCAAAATTTAACTTTAAGAAGCCAGCAGATGGGGGAGTCCAAGACACCCTTATTACTGGTTTGATCTGAGTACAGTTTGCAATCTCACCCCACTTTCTCAGCATGTCTTTCACTGTGTAGTCTGTAAATAGCTCTAGTGATTTCAGCCATTGTATTGCCCTTATGTGGATCACAGCCTTCACATCTTCAGCCCCTCTCTCATTTTCTGAGAAGATCCTAGTATTTCTTTCTTCTCATAATGTCCAGTATACTGCAGCCCTCAGACCTCTCCACAGTCATTTCCCTTCTCATGTGCCACCTGAAAAATGAAGGGGAAAATAGGCTCTGCAAGTCTGATGAAGGGTTCCACCTACACCCAAAGAGAGAACAAGTCCACTCCCAAATTGATTTTGCAAATTGGCAAGACACTGGTAAGTGAAAATCAGTCTCCCCATCTGCTTTGCAAAGAACACACCAATGAGGTGTGACTTGTTACTTTTGAAACTCATCTCTGCTATGAATTCTCTATTTCACCCCACAGGAATGTTTTGTGGACTATGGAGTCTGATTCGTTATTAATTTACCTAGAATATGGGGTTCCATGCCCACCCAGTGTTCCTTGCAACTCGTAGATTCCAACTTTAGGCAATTTGACCACCAAGGTTAGTGTGCAGAGGGGCTTTCCGTGTATGGCTAACAAACCTTTCCCTTTGGAAATCCCGGATTGACTTTTGAAACCCAGCTGAAACATGAGAATCCATTATATCGTGGGTTTGGTGAACCCATTGAGTGACCAAATCTCACTATGGGACTATGGGTGGTTCTGTGACCCGTCATGTGGGTTCGCCTCAAAAGAAACATTTTTCTACCGCTACAAATCTAATTCATTGGATGAGTTTAACTCCGAGGTTGACGTCGAGCTTGGAGCCTTGGATTGGAAGGTAAAACCGTAAAATGATTAATGAATGATGGTGTTGCATCCAAGTCAAAATGGGAAATGAGGTAAGCCAGAGAAAACAACCCTGTTAGAGGTGGCTGTCACCTGGAAAAGGCGAAAGTGGAATGGAGACAGTCGTCAACAGAAAAAGGTAATAATGTGGTTATTGCCTAATTGGAAAACAGTGCTTTTGATGCTGAAAAAACTTTTTAAAAGTTGTAAAAAACCTTCTGGAGAGCAGCATGTAATCTTTCATTAAGTTGAAAAGAAAAAGAAAACAATTCTATAAAACTTTATACTTTTCTTTCTCAACAAGGTAACCTCAAGACGCGAATCAAGAGAGAAACATCTTTGAGTGATCAATGACATCCCAAAAACACGAGGCAAACAATTAATTTGACCACGATCCGATCATTGACAGTCAAAAATAGGATGCTTCTCTTATTTGAATAAAAGACAAACTGCTTTTTCCTCTTCCAATTACTTTAGAGATATACTAAGCTCTGGACTATCCAAAACAGTTATCCTATTTCTCTTCTAGCAAGAGGGATGTGCATGAAAGCATAGATGCTAACTCTTCGTCTGTTGCCAACCCAAAACCTTGCCATCTAATTCTTCCAAACCTGTCCAGCAGGAAAACATACCTGAAAAGTGACAATTAAAAGAAAAGCATAGTTGAGATCATATCACATTATAGAGCCTTGATAAAATTGAGAATAACACAGCAACCCTACCCAGTAAGAAGGTTCAATATCTTAAGCTCTTTTCTGAAATAATAATGGTCACCAAATGAATATACGATCTGTCTTTGGAGGGTGTTGATACTTTCATCGATATGAGATTTCCGCATTACCCGTAAAAGCAGCCGTTTTATCGGATTCAATGATAAGAACCAAGAGTCAATAAATGAAACCTGAAAATACAACCCAAATGTAAATTTTGACCCAGTAATATATAGATGATGGTACCATCATTTTTCTTTTCTCTTTTTTGATCAGTGATAGTACCACCACATTTATCAGCAAGAGACAATGCCACATACCCTTGAGTACAATCCTACAGATTTCTGTACAAATTTTATGTTGATAAATAATAACCAAGAATTTATAAATAAAAAAGTGATAATGCAATTCCTTCATTGACTTAAATCCAGTAAAATTTAGATGTAAGGGTAACCAAATGCATTAGTATGAGACAGGACTGAAAAGTAATAAAGCAAATGCTCAGAATCACACATGATGATAGATCTTATATGGGCCATGCTAGAAGCATACAGTAAGTAGAACTGTTATTTAGTATAATCAGCTCCATTTTGAGCCTCAAACCAGTTCTATCATCTTTTTCATTAAAAAAATAAAATAAAATTTATCATCTGATCTATCTGTGTGCCTTTTATTTAACACCACCTCTCATAACGATACCGGTGTTTCATCTTCACTGCTCATTTCTAAGATATTAGTTTTAGTGTTTCTATCATCTGATCTTCTACAATAGCTCCAATAATAGAAAATATTCTTTAAAAGAAGCAGGAAGATTCATATGATTGGTACATGAGAAGTTTGCTTATAAAAAAAATCATGCATGAATAGTTTTTCCAGTGCAAAAATAGTAGTTTAGAATTTAGCTAGTACCACCCATTTCAACCAGAATATACCAGAGTACATGCACTGTTTCTCTCTTGCACTGTTGAACATGAATTTTGCATGTGCCACTCAAGGGAGCATGATCAATACAATTTTGTAATTATTTGTAATCTTGATTGAATAATTATGTTCACATGCAGGCTTTTAAAATGTAAATCAATTCAGCATGTATTAGGCCAGTTTTGATAACACAGAGGCTATATTCTTAATCACAATTAAAATGACACTCCATTTCAGAATGTTAAATGTTAGTATATAGTAACTTGTAGAGGTTCACTTGACTGTATTGAGAATTTTCATATAACAATGTAGTCAATCCCTCTAGGCATAACCATTTCCAAAAGTATTAAGCTAAGATCAACAGAATCAGAATAATCAAATCTAAAATAGTAATAGAAGTATGATGTGGACACTATTGTAGTTACCTCATATTCCTAAGCAATAATCAGTGAAGCAAAGAACTATTGCTTATATAGAAAGACACTATTGTACTTACCTCATACATCTGGACATCTTTTGAAGCTCTAAAAGCATTCAGGAAGGGTGTACTCCAAGAATCTATCATTGCCTGTTGAAGAAATCAAACCAACAATATAGCCAGTTTCAGATTGTAGGAGAAAACTAAACATGGGCATTGAAGATTTTCTAGCCCTCTCTCTTCTTTCTTTGTTTTTCTTTTTTTTTTTTTTGGTATTACATAGTACTTATTACAGGGGTGGACTCTGGGGTGGGGACAGAGCAGGGTACACATGAGGTTCACTGGCCATACCATGGAAAGCCTGCAGTTCCATGGGTTGATCCCACACCTCCTATTTTGGAGGGACACCAAGCAACCATTTCAACTACTGAGTCATTGGCAATCTCAAAATACTTTAATAAACTCTGCTCTATTTTAGAAAATAAGTTTCACCAAGCTTACTGTTAACCTAATAGCTAATAGTGATCATGATGACAACTGCGATGGGATATTTCCACATCAAAATGCTGCAAATCTATTTCTATACTCAATTTATACTACTTGGAATGAATTACACAACCCATTAGTGCAAATAATAGGTCACTATTTCTTTCTTTCTTCCTTTTTTTTTTCCTCTTTTTCTGAAAGGTGAAGAAATAGATCATATTTTTTTCTTAAAATTAAAAGAAAGAAAAGAAAGGATGAATTGCTTTATTTGAACATAATAGGTGGCAAGCTGCATTAGGAATGAAAACACAAAGATCTCAAGTAGAATACTTTAAAACCATAAGATGCCCCTAGAATCTCAAATATTAGCCTAAGAATGAAGCTCGAACAAGATAAGGGAAATAAGTGGTCCTCCTATCGATGTTCCTATGAATGCATGATATTTGATTAAATACCATTCATAGATATAAGCGCCACACTGAAACTTTGAGAGAGAATAATTGAACAAAGATTGCGACTTGAAACAAGTGTATCAAAGAACTAATTGGGCTTTATGTCAGGGAGATCAACCATGGAAGCTATATTTCTTTTGAAACGATTGATAGAAACGTTCAAAGATAAGAAGAAAGATCTAGAAAATGCTTATGATAGAGTTCTTAGAGCGACAATATGGTAGGTCTTGGAAAAGAAAGGGGTTCAAAATAGGTATATAGACCTAATTAAGGATATGTGTGAGGGGGGCAACAACCAATGTTAGAACATCAGTGGGAGAGACTTCAGATTTTAACAGTTAATGGGTCTTCACCAAGGTTTAGCACTTAGCCCTTATCTATTAACATTGACCATAGATGAACTGACTAAACATATTTAGGGAGAAATTCCATGGTACATGTTGTTTGTGGATGACATTGTTTTAAATGATGAAACCAATGAAGGATTAAATACAAAATTAAGCTTATGGGCAAATGCCCTAGAAAGTAGAAACAAGATGTTTTAAAATAAGTAGGACTAAAACAGAGTATATGACATGTAAATTTAGTAAAGGAATGTAAATCAGGATACGCTTAGGATTGGAGACCAAGAGATAACTCAATGCGACCATTCCTAGTACTTTGGTCCAGCAATTCATAACAAGGGGGAGATTGAGGAAGATGACACCCAAAGAATTAGAGCAGGTTTGGTAAAATGGAGGGGTGTATCTGGACTTTTGTGTGATAGGAGAATAAGACTTAGATTAAAAGGAAAATTCTATAAAACATTTGTAAAGGTCAGCTATGTTGTATGACTGTGGCAGAAATGCAAATATTAAGATGGATAAGTGCAAAAGCTAGAAAGAATAGGATCAAGAATGAAACCATCTGTAGAAACCTAGGAGTAGCTCCAATAAGTGATGAAATGAGAGAGAGTAGGCTAAGATGGTTAGGTCACGTGCATAGAAGACTATTAACAGCTTCAATTAGGAGAAGTGATTTGTTACAAGTGGAAGGGGCTAGAAGAACTAGGGGTAGACCAAAAAGGATATGGGTAAAAGTAATAAGAAATGATTTAAGGTCCAGAAAGCTAGGGAGATGAATATCAGAAAACTCATAATTGAAGGGGACTCGGAGGTGGTGGTAGGATGGCTGAATAAAGACAACAGTGGCTTATAGAATTACAGCAATGTGAGGAGGAAATTCAGATGGCTGGTTCGAGAAATGGAAGTTAAAATCAGTTGGGTAAAAAGATCAGCTAATTCTTTTGCGGATGGGTTAGCTAAACAAGGGGTGGAGAGGGAGTCAATGTTTTGGGCACAGTTGTAATTTTATTCTTTCTATTTCTCTTCCTCTTTTTTCCTTCCTTGGGGCTCAAGCTGCAGGTGGAAGATAAGAAAGTTTGTCTTCCTATTTGTAATTATTTTTGAGATTATTTAATGAATTGTGTTATTGATCAAAAAAAAAAATGATTTAAGAACTAATAATTCAACAATGGGCATGGTTTTAAATAGAACAAAGTGGCGAAACAGGACTCATGTAGCTGGCTCTATATGGTTCGGATAAGGTATGGATGATGATGATGATGATGAGATACAAGTCTTGTGCTCAAGACTCCACCTTTTGAAAAGATGTCAAACAATAAATTTATTGTTCCAAAATCTACCATGACATACATCAGAAAGATGAAAGAAATATGAGAAAGCTAAACTTTCCTAACCTGAGAGTTCGCACGAAATGAAAGACACAGCAAGGATGCTGCGGGGACGGACAATTTTTCCTTGGCCTCATTTCCTTCAGAAACAATGGGTAGTTTAAGACTCCTACCATCTGAGGAGTCAACTTCTATTGTGGGAAACTTAACAGCTGCAACCGCTGGAATAATAATTTTATTTGCCATTGCAATCTGCAGAAATCCATAAAAAAAATTCAGAAAAAAAAAGCATTTGTTACAGATTAAGAAAAATTAAGGAATACAACACATAGCTGTTAGCAACGTATTGAAAATCATAATTACATCATAAATCATAGAGAGGGTTGAATCAAACTGAATCATGAATCGTATCATCTATCATAAGATTTTTCTGTTTTTTCCACAAACTTATAAAAAAAGAAATAAATGTATATACAGAAAAGTGCTTTTACCATATTTTTAATCCATATCTACCATTAAAACAATGCCATTTACTACTTGTACATTAGAAGCCTAAGATGATATAGTCAAGTTCGACTTGAAAGTTAATTAATCCACATACAATGGCTCTTTAACCTAAATATGATGGAAAATAAACTAAATATGGGTTAAAAAGGTCCCAAAGAACCTAAATAACTGTTCTGGTGAGGATTTTAAAACAAGAGTATCTTGAAAAATAAGTCATTAAGATTTATGAGTCAAATCATAGGATTCAAACAATTATTGTAAAGTTTTTGCAAAAAATTAAAACCCTTGGATTCATGATTCAAATTGTGAACCATATTGTAAAGCATAAGTTTTTGAAAACTATGCTGTTAGCATATTCACCACATTGTAGTTCCTTTTAGAACCATTTTTTTTCTTCTTTGCGGGGCACACTAAACATGAGGAGTAAAGCGTCCCCAGTAACTTTCAACATAATAATAATAATGATTGTGTGAAAAAATTATAGGTTTACTACATCGCTAAAAACTAAAGAACCTAAAAGAGAACTTTTTTGGCACACCTTACCACCATGTTTCTTGAGCTCAGAAATGTCAGCAAAGTATCCTCTATTCATTTCGTCTGCACTGCCCTAAAGCACAGTAACTAATTTAATTAAATTAAGTACATTAACAATGATGATGGAGAAATTTTCAAAACATATGGTTAATGGATGGAACTACAATCATGATGATTTAAGTATAGGATACACAAATTTAGAGGAAATGAAAATAACGGTTATTTAGTGCAAGATCAAAATCTTATTTTATTTATCAGATTGTGCTTCCACATGAAAAGAGAGATTCCAGAAAATGATTTTTCCAAGTAATCACTAAAGAAATTGGTTTGTATTTCCAACCAATCTGTGTGAGGTTAATCATCAAACAACACTACGACGTCAAGCAAATAACAACATCTAAAAGGCATAAAATATTAAATGTGAACTTACAGCCTAGCCCGTTCTTTCTCGATGGCCGCTTTGTTGCCGATCTGCAAAAGAAAGATTCTTGCGTTTGCTTATAAATTTCAATATTGTGAAGAGAAACAAATATTTCAATAAAACAAAAGGCTAGAGAGGAAGTAAGTCAACATAGGTCAGAGAGTGTACATGGTTGATGAATGGAGAGAAAAGGAATAAAAACCTGGTAGATGTCGAGTGAGCGATAGGTGGTCTTCTGTGAAGGGAGAAACGAAATCTCTTCTTCATGCTTTCCTCTGAGGAGACTGGAAACTGCAGCCCCAGTGGCGGTGGTGTGGAGCTGATGAATCATTGTTAAACGTTTCAATTTCAACCTCAACATATTTGATTCCGAGAGAAATGACAGTGCGAGAGCCGGACTGCTTCTTCTTAGCCTGTGTTCTGATTCTCTCCTGGTACCAGTCTACCACACCAGAAGTCGGGATCTGCTAATAACAATCAACTCAAGGCACATCAGACTGTAGACCTGGTAATCGGGTCGCTTTCAGGTCGGCTCAAGACAAATTCGGGTTGGGTCACCAAAGGCTATACCCTAATCCTAAATTCTCGGTTAGGATTGACCCATGGGTCAACTCGGATTAACCTTAAAAAATAACTGAAATTTCAAAAAAATAAAGAAAACCATAAAAATATTTAATTAAAAAATCCAAATTTAAAAGAAAAAACTTAAAATTTTAAAAATTCAAAGAGTAAACAATAAAGGATAAATCTAAAGATTAAAGGCTCGGTTTGGAAGGAGTACAAATATAAATATATAGAGTGTAAAACCTTGTATTTTGTATGTATTTATACTGTATATATTTATATTTATACTCGTTCTAAATTGAACCTAAAAAATTAAAACTTCTCACAATACATAAATAATTTCAATTAGACCTTATAATCAGGTCAACAGGTTGACCCGTGATCCAATCTTTTTTGCAGGTTGGGTCATCTCGGATTTGGATAGATAGATATGAGACCCTGACCCTATTTTTGGGTTGGGTCGAGTTGATGCCATCTTCAAGTCTATCTGGTCCAGACCGCATTGTAACAAAAAAAAAACTGGACCAGAAGAGCCCCCACTCTAAAAGAACCAGTCCGTCGAGACACCAAGACCGGTGCTGTCGCTGTATCTGGCTTGGCCACTCGGGTTGGTGGTGGGAACCGGATTCAAATGGAACAACGACCATATTTCACCAGTAATGTTTGCTTGCAACTTTGGATTGCCCACGTGGCACATATCTTATGTTAGTTATTGTTGATTGAATCTGGCCCATGGACTATGGATCGACCGGATGCCATAATATCAGTTTTGGGTTGGGCTTATGGTTTGTCCGACGGAGTTGAGATAAGCCAAGGTTTGTTCATATAATCATATGGTGTCGAGGACACAAATGTGAGTTCGGATCTCCTACCCATTTGACAGTTGACACTACAGGTGTGGGGAGGTGTTCCCAATGCACAGCTGTAGTGTCATGTGGGTAGGAGATCAGAACTACTCAAATGTTTATCTATAGATTCACCGGTTTAGGCTTGACCCGGAGGCTCGGCCTAAGAGAAATGTGTGTTTCATAGGTAGGATAATCATTCCTACCCTAGCTCCGAAGGCCAAGGTCTGGCCCATAACTTTTGGGCTTGGGCCTAGGCTTGGACCGGAAATACATATTTACAATGATAATTAATGTGTATTAAGTCTGATCCAAACCGGCCTAGCTCCAAATAGGATACATGGAGGCAGAAGTTTTGTTTACTTACGCTCTATTTTTGTCCGCAATGCAATTCCATTTGTATTAATTCAAATTGTTGAAAGTATAAATGAGATAAAAAAAATGCAAATTCTGATCCATTTTTGCTTCAAATTTTATTTTAATTAATTTCAGATTTTATTTTACTTCATCTACAAAGCAAACAAACAAGACAAGGCAAAATCTGAAACAATAAATAAATTAAAATCTGCACTGAAATCATTTGCACTCCCATACTTTTGCATTAGTATAAATGAAATTGTACTGCGACCAAACGATGCTTTAATGATCCAAGGCCATGCATGGATGTATTCAGGGCCTGAATTGCAGTTGAGGTTGGCATGTAAAAGTAACTGCTGAGCACAAATATTTGCTACACTGGTTCATAGGCTGGAGGGTCTCCTAATCTTTCTGTTTTTTGTTCAAAATTTATTTATAATATCATGAGAAGATTTATAGAAAATATCAATAAATAATAATACTAAATAATATTTACTTTGAAGGTATAATTATGAAACAATGGTAAAACTAGATTTTACCATTACATTAAGCCATTAATGGTCCATGAGACCAAGACCCAATAAATTTTAACAAGGATGGTATTAGTCAAAGTGGCTTGGGCAAAGCCATGCGTAAATGGAAAGTTTTGAGGGCTGACTGTGCACGTGAATTGAGCTTCTCATGAGTTATTCGAGTCCAGTTCGTGAAAAGTTCAATTTGGTTGGCTAAACTCGAATTCAATATAAAAGCTCGATTTATGAGACTTGTGAACTTAATTGAGTTTTTTTATATGTATTATAATAATTAGTTTTTATAATTATTATTTTTTTTATTCTTATAGGAAGTTTAGCTTATTATAATCAAGCTCGAGCTGAGATAAACTTGAACTTACGAGCTTTTAAGTCAAGCCAAAATTAATCTCAAGTCTTTAGTTCAAATCAAGCTCGAGCTTGAGCCTCATAATTTTTAGGTAAATTGAACTCGAGTAGCCAGATATTTGGCTCACCTCAAATCCACCCCTAAGGCTGAGCTAGGCTCGGCTTTGGCATCCACTTGATTTTTACAACATACTATTTATTTCCTCTTTTAGGCTTTGATCGGTTTCATACAAAAAGGAGATCTTAAGGACTTCTCTTCAACTTTCTATTTCTCTCTTTCTTGTACCAAACTAAACATGCATGACCTTAATGCCATAGAAATCCAGATCCCATGTCTCTTGAAAGAAAAAAACATGCAAATACTCTAAGAGTATAATCCAGTCATATGTAAAAATTATACTCTAAGAGTATATTTATATGGTTTTCATCGCGGGGAGATGTTTACAATGTATGACCAGATGTTGTGCTCTAAGACTAAGAGTGTTTGCATGGGTTTCGCCTTTAGTAAATTCTTCACCCGCTAGCTTTAGAATCTGAATTAGCTAGATGAAAAGGGTTTACAATCTCTAGGTATTGAATCTCAGTGATATGTGTGCCAATGGACCTCAAGTCATTCAACCCGACTCCAACCCCAAGTCATTCAAGGGGGTTGTTTGACAATATGGTTGGTTTTGTTTTTGAACTCAAAAGCAACTGCCCACATCAAACAAAAATAATACAACTTTGCTTGTATTTGTTTTTATTTTCAAAAACAAAATTAGCCATGTTCTCATCCCCTAAACACAGAAACAATCTAAGGTTGCATTTGGCATTTCTTATTTTGAGGACTGCCACTTAACCTGACCCACTAACAACCCTAGATGTAAGCAATACACTTGCTTGGTTACATCAACATGTCCAAAGCGCCATGCTATAAGCACCACCATTTACCACTAAGGTTATGTTTGGTTTGATGGAAAAGGTAGGGAAAGGAAGGAAAAGACAAGGAAATCAATACAAGGGTTATAAAGATTTTCCTACCTTTTCTTTCCCTTCCTTAGATTTTCCTTCAAACCAAACATAGCCTAACTAGAAACTTTTGCTAGTCCGGGTGGCAAAAGTAGTTTGGAATTCAAACTTTGAATGGATATTAATTCAATAAAGCCCGAAAGACCTTCGAATGCGTGCAAAATAAGACCTATATAAGTTTTATATTGAGAAATTAGAACTTTGAATGGATAGCATTAGTCATAAGAACCACCAACAACATTAAGATTATTATATTGCCTTAATATTAACTATTAACTAAATAACACTTCCTTCTCCACTGCCTAGTTTGTTAGGTATGGTCCCTTTTTTATACTTTGCCCCACAATTTGGAATCTGTCTACCTAGGAGACCTCTCTCCAAAATCAACAAATGCAAAAGAGAGAGAAGATTTCAAATAATAGTTTTTTAACTTGTTTGGGTGAGTAATTCTACTTTGCCCTTTTTCTTTTTCATTTTTATCAACTTTGAGATCCTTCTCAAAAGCGCCAATATGAAGGGGGAGATTGACCTGCAGGGCCCATTATTGATTGGTGGTGGTGGGACCAACCTATAATAACATATGGGGCCTGATGAAGGAAGATTTGGCCCGACCTCGCAATCACTCCACGAGGCAAAAACAAATATCTCGGCACAACAGCGCACCCAGGGCGCAAGCACCAAAAGGAAGAAACCAGCAGCCTGAACTCCCTACGAGGAGCCCGACCTCCCTACGA